TCTAGGATTTGTATATAAAATTGTTCTATAATAATGTACATTAACAACAGATTATACAAAATTATTTAATAGTCAATTTTATAAATCATATTAATGCAAAGAAATTAATATAACAGAATTATCTCTTTCATTTTAAATCTTATAATTTATAAAGAGAAAGAAAGACAAAGAAAAGAAAAAGAATTAAATTTCCTTTAGTTAATTTTTTAAATCTTTCATTACTTTTTCAAATATATACAGAATTGTTAAATTAATATTTAAATTTGTGGTATTAAGAAAAAATATATATACACAAAGATTAGCAAATTCTTGAAAATTCTTAAAAATTTTCTTGTTATAAGATTGTTTTTCATATCTAAATTAATTAAATATTAAAGTAACTATTTAAAAAATTAAACAATTTGATAAAAGAAAACAAGAAGAGAGAGAGAGAGAGAGAAAAGTATTTCCAATATAAAATATATCTTCTGATATCTTACAGCAATTCATAGATTATTTAATATTATATAATTGTAATATATATTTATTACTCAAACTCTGTAGTAATTCAATAATATTATTTTCATCTAAAAATATTAATTATAAATTTTAAAAGTTTAATAAAATTTAAAATTTTAATAAAAATTCACTGAAAAATCTCAGAGTATAAGAAAGAGAGGATTTGTAATATACATAAATTCCTCTAATCAAATAATTTTTGCATATGTAAAAAGGGAAAATGTAAAGATAAGATTAGTATGTATATATATATATATATATATATATATATATATATATATATATATAATATATATGGATTTTCTAGAATGTTTTATATTAAAATTATTCCATTTGACCGGATAATCTAATCTAACATAAGTCTACTACATCAAATCTACTAAAGCACTAAAATACGACTCCAGACAATTATGTGTTCTGTGAACCGAATCTTTTCCATTCCTCAATATCTGTATACATGCTTATACCTTTGTTGGAAATTCGGCTTGCTTTTGAAGTAGTCCGAACTATAGTATACTACATTCCCTAAGGAACCTACGTAGGCTACGTTTCACAGTGCCGAAAGAAAGGTGCATAAATCGATCTCTCTGCCACAGAGTGCTGCCTAAGCGAATAAAACTTGAATTTTTCAAAGTCTATCTCAAAAAATTCAATCGTATCTCTGTAATATTTTCTATTAGGAAATAAATATGAAATAAATAAAAATGCAATAAAATATTAATAATATTAATAATAATAAATAAAAATTGTTTACTATATATCATAATTATAATATTATAAATCAATTTAATTATTTATTATTCATATAATTTTTTATGTAAAAATGACCGATCTTTTTATCTTCGCTATATTAATTATTACATATAATTAATCACATTAATATATTAATATAAGTAATATTGTTGGAATATACATATGTGTAGAATACAAATACGTAATGATATAAAGTATTTCTTAAATATTTATTTAATATTAATAAATATAATAATAAATAAAAAAGAAAAGTATATAAAGAACTTCAAGAATTTTCTTCTTTATTCTTTTAGATATTTTTAGAGATCTTTATTTAGTAAGAAAGTAATACATTGTGTACACGAATTTTGTTTATTTTAAGAAAGAAAAAAATGCTTTATATAAAAAGTGCATTAGTTGTACCGTGACTTTATTTCGCAAATTACTGTATTTTTACTATTACCATAAAACGTATACATAATATATGAGAGAATTCGTGTTTTTCCAAAAGACGCGTCGCGTTCACGCGAGGAGAACCGAAAGGGAAAAGACAAAAAACCGAATCGGTTTCGCTTCCCCTGACAGAAATAATTTTTCCATATTTCTCAAGGAAAAAAGTAGCAAAACCCGATATTGGTTCTGGATATATTTCTGCATGTATATGTCAAGTCGTTCCATAGAGGATCGTGCAGTTAATATTATATGTTTGAGATAGAAATCTTTTTTTTGCTTAACAGAAGTAGAAAATATTTATATTCCTTAATAGCGTTTTGCGATAGATCAATATTAGGAATTTTTTTTTCTTTAAATCGTCTTTCGATACTTTCTCTCATTTATGTTTTGATTTATGATATTTTCCTCCAATAATTTTTAAGAGATGTCCCTCATTTTATTAACATTAAAAATAGAAATATATTGATACATATTACTTTTTAATTTTTATACAAAATCATTTCTTTTATATTTATTAATTATATTATATATAAACATGTTTTTCTCTTCTTTATTTTAAGATATTTATTTTATAAAAAAAAATCCGCCAAGAAATAAAGTCTATTTATTTTATTTCAAAGCTAATGAAAAATTGAAAAATTTTTTCGTTAATAATGAATAAAGAATAAATGGAACTTTTCCATTCATATATTTTTCTTTAACAGCATACAGCGTTTATTTTTATTTTAGTAATTAGAGTATGAGATAAAAATAGTGACGTTATTTATTAATTCCGTTCGAAAATAATATCTTTGAACAAACATCGACAATTTTTCATTATTTTAAAAATAGCTTTTTTATTGACCAGTTATGAAACTGAAACTTTACATCTATAAATTTTTTTCGCGAGTAAAGTACTTTCCTATCATTTGTTGTATGCAACATATTGATGATGAATATAATTTCATGTAAAGTATCTATATTGCATTTTGATTTTCTTTTAATTATTTTAACAAAAATTTAAAAAATTATCTGCATATTTAAAAAATTCTCTTTTAAAAATTAGAAAATTCTGAATAGTTTTAATCAAAATCTAATAAAAATTTACAGCATTGCGAGCTACATAATTTAATTAAAATTTGATAGACGTATTTAATCCGATGGTAAAATAACTTAAAAAATTTTTTAGAAGTGCCTTTTTGCAAAAATTTATTTTTTTTTTGTATTATATCCAAACTCAATTTTCGCTGGCAAATATGTCTGATTTATTTCCAAGCATCAAATGAAATATTGTCAGATTGTGCATAATGCAATAGAGTGAGAGAAATAAATAATATATATTTATTATATTGCTTACTTATGTTATAAATTATAGATCACAAATTTAGACAACAAAGATTATAATAATTCACGAAATTAATTCTAAATATCATGAAACTAGCTCAAGCTTGTATCAAATATAGTGAATTGTGAATAATTTACGTAATTTTATCAATAATTAATTTCTATTGTCAAATTAATAATAGCCGAACACAATGGACAAAATCTAATAATCCATGCTTTTAATTCTTAAAGCAACTCTATTATTTATCTTGAAAAGCGTAGAAATAGAACCGGTACATTTATCTATTGAAAATTTAGCAAGACTTTCGACGTGAAATGCAAATTTAAATTTAAACGAGCTAGAGAGGGTCAGAGATGTGTTAATTTCGAGGGAAATTAATTTTCATTGAAACTGATTAGCTGTCGTGCACAGGGTATAAAATTTTCCTTATAATCGATCGGAGATTTTTCTACGAGTCATCATCAGTGTTTCTTCATGCTATTCTCCAATATACTTGTTATTATTACGATTACACGTTATTTTTATCTCTCGAATGTTCTCGATTTCCTCTCTATTCCGTCTGAATCACCTCTTCTACTATTTGATGTTAATTGAGTAGCCGAGTATTCGGCCGTCGCGATTAATTAGCAGTTTCCCGTTTACTGCTTTTCCGCGTATTTTTGTGTGCGAATATTCACGCCTGGCGCCCAATTTTTCCTACAGATACAATTAGTTATTATAGCCTGGGGATCAATATAATCAATAGATCGCGCCGAAGGTGCAAGAACGATGCGTCACTTGAAATTGCATAGAAAATTAACAATCACCATATATATGTACAGTGTATATTTTAAATAACGCATACTTTCTCAAAACCAAGGCTTCTATTAAAAAATATTTTATACAAAAGTAGAATTTCAAGAAAGATGTTTTGTCAAAAATATATAGTTTCATTCGATTTTATTTTTAAATAGAACCACCATAATTTTCTTACACAAAATCAATTCCTTATAATATTATATTTAGCATAAAAATGTTTAAATAAAATAATCGAAAAATAAAGGGTTTATGGTTATAGAAATATTTTATGCTAAAATCTTACCTTAGTTTTATAATTTTCTGTGTAGAATAAGTAGATAAATTAATTGATATAAGAAAAATATACTTTTTTTTTTAACTAATTACGTTTTTTTTTACAATCAATTGATTTATCTTATTATTCTATGCAAAAATTATTAAAATAAGATTATCTAAGTTATTTCATATTTTTTGGTAAAATGTATCGGAATAAAGTATACAATATCTGAAAAACTATTTATTTTTCGACTATTCTACTCTAATAATTTTTAACATCAAATATTACGAGGAATCAATTTATGTAAAAAAATTATGTTAGTTTCGTTTGTAAAAAAATGTAAAAGAATAAATTAAAAAATAAGTTCGAAATGTCAAATGCTTGCACCTGGAATAAAACCATGCTTACGACAAGACATCCCTCTTTAAATCCTACATGAAATATTTGCATGAAATATTTTTCGATGGAAGCCTTGATTAAAAAAAAAAGAAATAGCAATGTGTTATTTGAGATAAGACCCTCTGTATATTATAGTGTTCAATACTAATGCCTAACACGAATATTAAATACATATATTGCGCGCGCGGAGTTTATTCGAAAATATAATATACAATCTCGGCTCGCTTGAAAAGTTATGAGGGTAAAGCCGTGTGACTCTCTCAGCCAGGAGGTTGTTTGCACCCTGCATTTAATATCGCGCATTTAATTCCCGTAGGATGTATTTCAGGAAGGAAGGCGACCTGCGTTAAGGTGAACCTGGGGTTGCCGCGGGTATGACAACCCCGGCTTTCAGCCGGGATTTCCTGCATGCGGGAACGAAGACAGCGCCCCGAAGAGGCCCCGGAAGCTTGGTCGCGATGGTAATTCCTGGCGCGCAGGGAGAAATTAAGGGACACCCGAACAAAAATGGGACAAGGAGCGAAGCGTGAGACGCGTGATTTAAGTCGTAAGCGGCGAGATAACGCCATCCTCAGCGCCGTAATTTCGCCAAGACGAACGATTATTGGACGAACTTCCGCGCATATAATGCGCGACGGTGCTCCCTTTACATCATTTTTTTACGTGTCAATTCCAAATTATATTAAAATATTTCTGAAAATTTGGAAAAGTAGAAATAACATGGATTTCCTCTTTCGAATTAATAAATATGTATATATTATGATAAAATAAACTAAAACACTTAATTAATGTTTGACTAATGCTCCCTTTACATTATTTTTTTACGTGTCAATCCCAAAATATATTAAAATATTTCTTATTAAAAAATTTTCAAAAATAAATTATAAATATTTGTATAATTATTATTTAAATATTTATTATTTATTATAAAATTTAAATAACTTTATAATTGATATTAATTAATCCATTTTAAACAATAAATTATAAATGTCAATTTAAAATATTAATTAATTATTTAAAAAGTAAATTAATATTTTTATAAAAAAATTAGAAAATATATTATATATATATTTATTTTTTATATTAGATTTACAGTTAAAATAAAAACGAAAAATCAGCCGTTTTTATTACATCGAAGAAAAAAGATTTATCAGTTCGAATAAAAGGTTAACAATAAAAACGATAGAATTTTATATTTTTCACAAATCTATTGTTGATTTATAGTGCTAATAAGAATTGATTTCGTTAATAAAACTTCTTCGCTTGATTATAAAAGCATTGTGTCTATTTTTATTGTGAATTGTAAGAAACTTCGGTTGTAACAATGAGTCACTTTCTGTGCTATTTATTTTTTCCCCTTTCCCCAAAGCTTAAACACACACTTATTCTGTGTCAGATACAGGAAGGAAATGCAAGAAGAAAATGCAGCTAAAATGAATAGCTCTATTATGTTTCTATGTCTCCTTTAGAAAATGCAACATTAAAATAAAAGCTTCCGACACTTTTCTCAAGACACTGTTGTTATTTGTAGGTTTATTTTAGAGAGCGAGCTATTTAATCATAATTTAACTCTGCACAACAAGTGTGAACATTTTCATTATAATAATTGTTCAATAAACTTACCTGTATGATGTACGTGAAAAGATATGCGAAGATCTCTCACCGGAATCACTGTCGCGTCAGAGTTCAAATCTCCTTCGTATCTGTAAAAAAAAGTTCATTATATTTAGTACAATTATTGCAGTGAAGAATTATTATGCGAACTTATTTATATTATCAAAATATTATTTAATATTGATTCATACATATATAAAAAAACACACAGAAATTTAATGTTCACAATATTTTTTATATTCTTATGTTCTTTATGTTCTTTATATAAATTTTTTTGTTATTGCCACCAAAAATATATATAATGTTTTTTTTTTTTACGAAAAATAGCAATTATAAAAATTTTTGTAAAATTAGCTAAAATTTATAATATTTATTTATATTAATAATATTAAAAAAACACACAGAAAAATGTTCACAATATTTTTTATATTCTTATGTTCTTTATATAAATTTTTTTGTTATTGCCACCAAAAATATATATAATGTTTCTTTTTTACGAAAAATAGCAATTATAAAAATTTTTGTAAAATTAGCTAAAATTTATAATATTTATTTAAACATAAATCTTTCTTTATTTAAGGTAATACAATGTATATAATTAATATATATAATATATCTTAAAATTATAATGTAATGTGTATCAATTTGGAAGCCGAGATTGTTTAATTTTGAATTATTTTCCCAAGATATCATTTTTCGACTTAAGTACACGATTCAGTTTTTTCAATTATAATTTGCATATTAACATGCTGTCTTCATTTCATAATATTGAGAAAGACATTAGGGCTGTGAAATGTTCGTCTACATTAGGGGATCAGTTTAGTGGGGAAGTTGGAATTTTCGTCGGCAGCAATTAAGAGTAGAATTTGCAAATTGCGCTGTAATATGCAGTGACAAAGAGGTAAACGTCTGCGAGATGGTGTAAGAAAAGGAGAAACAAAGCAAGAGAGAAAAAGAGAGAGAGAGAGTAGGAAAGGATGAAGGGAGAGAAGACAAGATTAATAAGTATGACGAAGATATTCGCGCGCAAACTATAATATCGCGAGCAGAGAGAGAGGAGCGGCATTTAAGATGAAATATATACGAAATACGATGCAATGCAGCGAAAGATATATCCTGGTGATGCCAACTAGAGAGATTAGATCTCGGGGTGATTCGTTTCGAAATTAAACTCGCTTTAATCCTGCGCAACTCCTACGATTAATCTTCCCGCGTACTTTGGCTTACAATGTTCTTAGATTCCAAAATAGCTTTGCTTCTTTATATTAACTTCGTAAGCGATCTGTTGAGCTGCAAAATTAGCTTTTTATTTTTCCACTTTGCGTTTGCCTTTTTTTTCATAATGTTTCAAATACTTCTTTATTCGATCTATATTAATATATATTTGCAATTAAATGTTACATACATTTAAAAACGTATTATGACAAATTAACCTAAATAATTTTTCGTTAGAATTAAATTACCTTGATTTTTAAATATGCATATTTTGAGATTTAATTTCAATTTTTATATGAATATATAGATCAAAATTTTCAAAGATAAATTATTCGACTTTTTTTATTAAAATATTAATGTTGGTCAAACGCATTTTTTTATTTGTTTTTCTCAATTAATAATATACGATATATTACAGAGCCTTGTTAAAACTCTTATATTTGTTACATACATTATATATTACATTGTTATTTTATTATAGTTAATTAATTTTTTATTATAATTTTTTATCAAAATGTTATTTAATTAATTATAATTAATTGTTTTTTAAAAATAATGTTTCAAGTATTTTTTTATTTGTTCCATATTAATATATGATATTTGCAACTACAACATTATATACACATATTACATGTTATTTTATTTTAATTAATTTTTCTGATTTAGGTTAATATATTATTTATTATTATTTTTTATCATATGTATTTTATTATACATATCATTTTTTATCAAAATGTTTCATACGTAACAAAGCGAAGCTGTATGTCTGAAATAGTTAGAGATGGAAAAGAGTCACAAAATAAAATTGAATGGTTTATATAGACACTTTATATTTCTATTTATTCTCTATTGGAGTTTTTGTGCATAGAAACAGCTATAAAATGCAATTCTATTTTTTTTGTTTTGTAAATGGAACGCTTTTTACATTTTGAATGCATGTTGAATACTTGTAATTTCTTATTTTATACAAAACTATTAAAAGTTCCATTAAGAAGCAAGTTACTTCACAACTATATGTATAATACATTGATGCATAAAACATAATATAAAAATATTATATAAAGCTAATCTAAAATTATTGAATTTTATCTTGATAATGTTTTTTTTTATTTTTTTATTTCCATTCCAAAATTTAGCTTAAAAAATTACCTTTGTGTGGAAGAGATAGCTTGAATAATCATTTGATTATTTCATCTGACATGTACATATACATTGAGAATTTTTTTTATAATTAAATAAACGATACTAAAATATTGATTCATCTATTTTATATATACATATATAATGGAAGCTTGGAAAATTAATGGAGAAAGTGCTCGAATGTTTTACTAAAATTGAATAATAAATGTTCTTATAAAAACAGAAAATTGTGTGTGAATTCTCGAGTGAAGAGTTTAACTTAATAAAAGTTTTACTTTTTTTATTTCTTATTTCATCTTTCTTGTTTCATTTTTCTCACTTCGCGTTTCCGATTAGTTGCCTGGATATTGGAACAGCTGTCGCCAACAGATTAATGGTCCATTATCCCGATTTGCTATCTTTTCGATTTCTTAAAAAGTGTCATTTTAGACTATTAAAAAAAAAAATAAGTAGACACATAAAGAAAAAAAATAGTTGTGTAAAAAAAACGTGTTTTCTAAATAATTCGAATAAGTTCTTAATACAGACAGTCGTTTATCTTAAAACTTTTTAATCCGACGAATTTAAAGATTTTTAACTTTATACATAATGCTAGTATAATATACCTACACAACATTCACAAGTTTATTAATTTATTACAATAATATAATCTTAAAATAATTTTAATTTTAACTAATTTATTTCATTCATTGTACTTTATTTTTATATGTTTAACATTATATTTTTCAGACATTATTTGACAATCCACAACACGATAAACCATAATATAATATTTTTCCCTCACTGTTGACATATTAAAACGCAAACTCAGTTTACTCATTGTTTCATATTTTTAATCTTTTATTTCCATTGAAAAAATCTAATAATGTCAGTTCTAGAGATTGAGTTGGTCGCAACACTTGTCTGTTCTGTCCAATCAAGGGATTTTTTTTATTAAAAACTGCGGTTGTAAATATGGAAAATGAGTTGGACAGCTGTCGTGCTAATAAAATATTATAGAACAAATATTTAAAGCTGTATTTTTTAACAGAACTGGTGGTTTGATAAAAAATGTGTCTTTCCATTTTTAATATCATAAAAATATTATAAATAAAACAATCCAGCTAAGTGATTGTTTTTTATTTCACTACAAATATTACATTTTATTTTTTTTAATCTTTACCAGAATATTCTAAATGAATCAATATGTAAACGGAATTTATCTTAACGTAACAATCGTATTAAGTTTGTTATGCTAATTTTACTGTTTCTCATTCAAATTGATTTAATTGAATTAACGTGAAGATTCTCAATAGCTATCTCTAAAATCTTAATTGCATTTACTTTATACATTACAATTTTAAATTTTACAGAATTTTTAAACATTCAAACTATGTATTATTTTCTTAAGATTTTGTAATTAAATTAAAATAAACAGAGGAAATAATTGTCTGAAGTCAGAAAATCTTTTTGTACAATCGAATAACTTTTAAATACCGTCAATTTTCATCTTTGTAGATAAAACTAATATTAAGTTTTTATTCCTCTTTCTTTCTCTCTATCTTTCTATTCTCTCTCATTCTGTTTTTCTAAACATTTTTTCGCTCTATATCTCTATAAATTTATAAATAACTTGCATTAAAAATTGCAAAAAATTATCCACTTGAAATCAGGAAGAAGGAATTAAAATAAAGAAAAAATAGAGTACATAAAATTTAAAGTCCGATAAGACTTAATTTCATATTTTAAAGCGATCAGTTGACAGATTGAAAATTTAAACAGATTGACATTTTTCCACCCATTTAATGAAGGGGAGATTTCTTTATAAAATTAAGAAAAGCAATAAAACAGACAGACAAATAAACGCGATAAAAAGCTGCACTCGGCTAAATCATTGCTAATTTCTGCAATTAAATTAGTCTGCAAAATGGGTCTTTTTCGAGTAAAAATCGAGAAGAGAAGAAACCGTAAATGAGAACGTAGGGATTTAATCGACGTACAATTAAAGGGCAAAAAAGCAGAAAATATATATATATATATATTCGAGGGAAAACAAAAATGCTAGCCTGTCTCCGAAACGCTCGCATAAACTAGTGTTGCAAACTGATATAGCAGAAAGAAGAGAGGCGGAATGAAAGGGTGGAAAGGAAAAGAACGACCCTTCGAAGCTCTCGTTGCGAACGCGATAAATAAATAATTCTAATTGCGGCTGAATGGTTTTGACGGAGAAAAAGAGGAAAGCGGAACGAGCGAGAGAGGGAAAGAGAGAGAGATAGAGAATGATAGAAAGGTATAAAGCGAAAGGGAGAGGGCCACAGAAAAAAGGAAAATAAAGGCACAACCTCCGAGACAATGGCGAGCGAACGATCGCAGTTTTTTTTCGTCCGCTGCATAAGGTTTTTTTGCGGCCTTTCATTGCGCGCAGCCCGCTTTCCGTGATAATAATGCAGCTAATTATTTATTCAACCGATAAAACTGATCGACAGGTCTCTAACACGATGATGGCAACCGATATTTACGCGTCATTCCCGCGGAACGCGCTGATAATTTCATTAGAGCTAAATCAATTTATTAATTAAGACCGAAGATATCATTTTCCGCGCGTAATATATATTTATGAGATATGAAAGTATTAATGGAAGCATGATATGTTTGTAGCAAATATTGGGAAAAATTCAAGGTAAGACATGTCTCTTTTGATATACGAATAATTTTCAGTATAGAATATTTATATTTAAATTATTATATTTTTAAA